ATATCTATTCAATGACTGCAGTAGGATATGTAGCCCCAGCTAGGTGCTACTTTATAGGAAGCGTAAAGTTAGACTTGTGCTCATGGAAATGTGTGTGTCACCTGTGTTTGCTATGAGGGTATTTGGATTGATTAGGGTCTTTGGTGATGCAATAAAATGTGGGGGGAAAACAGTATAGAAAGCAAACATAGATACCAGAGACAGTGTGGGAGGAGAGTGGGAGGTGGCAGAGGGTAAGAGATAGGGAACCAAGGATGGAGGGAAAAAAGCAAAACATACAGAAAACAAGAAATGGAAGATCATTTGCTGAGAATAACAAGTTTGTTGATGTACTCTGGATGGAAAATCTCATTTTGTATGCTGTAATGATGTACAGTGAATGAATGCAAATAAATAAATTGAAAAAAAAAAAGAATAGAAACGGTGGCCGAGTATACGTGAGTTCCCCTCTTGCTGTCAGCGCACGTTTCCTGACCTCCCGCAGCTGCAGGGTTGTGTAAGCTCCAGGCCCTCGCTGCGAGACTCAGTGATTAGCCATCCACTCACAGGAAACTGGGCTTATCCCTTTTTCAGGTGTAAGTAACTTTCAGGTTCAGTGCTCTTGAATATAATACCCAAACAAAATTTGTGTTTGTGTATACACGTAGAAAGGAAAAAGTCACTTCCTTACAGAATTGCATTCTAGTCGGCTTCTATTCCTGTCCGTGTCATGATCCTTCTGCCTTGGCCTGCCGGGGGGCCCACAGGCGTGTGCCACCACACCCAGTTCTCTTTTAGACTGGGTCTTGCCGTGTCACCCAGGCCACCTCAAGCTCAGGGTCCTCCCGCCTCAGCCTCCCATTTCTGGGGTTGTAGGTGCGCATCACAATGCCCCGCCTCTAGGCTGGACTGGGAATTGAACCTGAGCCTCGTGTGGTTCCAGCCATGGAGCAGTGTCTAGATAGCATGCACCAACATGACTAGGCCAAAATTTTATGTTTCTTCTGAAGTAGAATTGCAAATTTGCAGGAGATGCAACATTTTCTGAAGTAGTTAAATGCACGGACAGGATGTTGCCGAAGTGTGATGCACAGACGACGGTGTACACACTTCTGCAGGGTGTGCGCAGGGGACTGTGTTGTTTTGAGGCTAAAAAACTAACAGCCTGGGACCGGCAGTTAGCATAATGGCTATGTTGCTGAACTCCCATGTAGCTGACCGCGGTTCGAGTCCCAGACCTGGTGGCTTGACTCAGGCTGGGCGTGTGTGCATGCATGCCCAAAATCCCGAGAGGAGAAGGGATTATGGTGTGGCCATCCTACCTGGAGGGTGATTTCTCACTTTTTGTCTCTTTGTCTCTATCTTTCTGGTGAGCGCACACACCCTATAGCAAAAACCTCTCAAACTAAGAACAGCCTGAGCTTCACCAGTAAGATACTGGCTTTTAAGATATGAAAAGTTCAGGGGATACTTTATCTTCGCAGAAGACTGTTTGGACTGTGTGGTTACAGAACACCGCTGAAATAAGCACACGGTAATACTTGGTGCAGGGCGGTGTTAACTGCCTAGCAGCGAGTGTTTTCAGAGCAGGCGTCTGGGTTGGGAGGGAGTTTTTCATCATGTGCCTGGCTGGCTAAGTTTTGTGCCGTGTCAGCTTTGCGGTGTCCCTTTGATTTCAGTGGTGCCCTCTCTACTCGTTAACCTGGGAAACCCCACGAAGGAGGTCCGTAGGGCTGCTGTGCACTGTCTCCAGGCCCTCGGTGGGGTGCCGTCCCCCTTTCATCCCGTGGTAGATCATGTAGCTCCTAAGGCAGAGGAAATCACCTCAGACGCCACCTACGTTGTTCAGGTAAGCACGGCAGCAGGAGCTGGGGTTGCCCTTCGGGATGCGCGGCCAGGCGGCTCTCCGTCCTTGACACCTCACTCTTAGAGATGTCCATGGGTGAGGTCATCAGTCTGAAGAACTGGTATGTCAGTGTACCTTTGCTGTCTTTTTACTGGATGAAAGAAGAGCGTTTGGCTTTTCGTACTGAGCTAGACTGGGGTGCTATCCTCCTCTCCTCCTGAGATCTTTGAGGAGAGACAGAAAGCTGGATGTGAGGCCCCACTGGGAGATCCTGCATACGTGGTGCTTCGGCTCGTGTCGCTCCCTCGCACTTCTCACCCGGTTTTCTTTTCAACATTCTAGGATTTGGCTACTTTATTTGAGGAACTGAGAAGAGAAAAGAGACTAAAGTCTTACCAGAAGTTGTCTGAGACGTTGAAAACCCTCCTTCACTGTGTGTATAGTTGTCCGTCTTACGTTGCCAAAGATTTGATGAAAGTGCTTCAGGGAGTCAGCAGTGAGGTATGTGTACTGGTGGTGGGTTTGTTTGCCCATGCCTTCGGGAGTTCTGAGGAGTTATTTTCACGGCGAGGAAGGCATTTGCAAGAACTGTGTGTACACTCAGAAGTGATTGTTTTCTTCTTTGGAAAGGGGAAGATGGAGGTGGAAGTCAGGATACAGGGTACAGAGAGCAAGTGCTGACGCACCGGGCGCATCCTTCTGGGGGTCTAATCTGCAGCTGTCACTGCTTCAGGGGAGCCTGTGAAGCAGAAACAGGCAGTTGCGAAACGCTTCCTTAGTGCTGGTGTGTGCCGGCCCTTCCCCAGCTCCTCAGTGCCACATACTGTGCCCAGTGACTGGCTCTGACTCAGCTGAGGTGAGAGTGGGGTGGAGACCACTCGTCGTAGCAGACAGGTTACAGTTATCAGTTCTCAGCTGCTCCTGGTATGGTTTAAAGGAGGAGTTGGCACACTACCTGTGAAAGGGTCAGAGAGTCAGTTGAGGTTCTGTGGGCCATGCCGTCTGTTACAGCCGCTCAGCTCAGCCACAGTAGACCGAGGGCCTGGCTGTGCCTCTGTGCAGTTTACAGAGCAGCGTCTCCTGAATGTGGCCTGTTGGCCGTGATTTAGTTATGAAAACCCAGCGTTGGTGATTTGAGCTAACAGTAACTGTACTAAGTTGGAAACATCGAGAGGAGTGCACGACATTCTAGAGAGTGCTGACATTACTATTGCACTCTAACACTTCATTCTGTATGTCTTGTTCTCAAAAAGACTTGAGGGTTGCTTGCAGGTGGTGGCTCTGCTCCTCTGAAGAGCCGAGAACTCGGTTTCTCAGATGAGTTGTCAGAAGGACCTGAGTGCCTTGATGGGGATTATTAATACCTTTCCAGGTGAAGAAAGCATCATCGGGTTTTATTTCTAGGCTGGCCTTCCAGTCTCCCAAGAAGCTATCTCTGGGTATGTCTGTGAGGCAAGCAAGGACAGTGTGGGTAACTTTACTAACAAGCTTTCTGATCTTCAGATGGTGCTTTCTCAGCTGTTGCCTATGCTTGAACAACTGCTAGAAAAGATCCAGAAGGAACCCACCGTGGTCCTGAAAGATGAGGCCGTGGTGTTACATCTCATTCTGGGGAAGTATAATGAGTATTCAGCTTCCCTTTTACATAAGGACCCAAAGAGTCTGGATATATTTATAAAAGCCGTGCACACAACAAAGGAACTTTACACAGATCTACCAGCTGTGCAGATCTCGGCCCTTGAAAAGGTCAGTGACTTCTGGAAAGTAAAGTGTATTGCAGTGTTTGACCCCATAATCTTTTGGGTGCGATGTGCTTGTGACCCCGTGACCCAGAGAGGCTGAGGCAGGAGATTGTGACAGCAAGACCTATCTTAAAAAAACAACTCGTTTTACAGAACCGAATGTTGTGCATAGGTCATTAAGAAAAATTTTGTTTTAAGGCCCAGCAGGTGGCGTAATGGTTAAGGTGTTAGATTCCCACATGGCTGACTGCAGTTCAAGTCCCAGACCTGGCAGCTTGTTTTCTCACTTTCTCTCTGTGTCTCTTGGAACAACTGCTAGAAAAGATCCAGAAGGAACCCACCGTGGTCCTGAAAGATGAGGCCGTGGTGTTACATCTCATTCTGGGGAAGTATAATGAGTATTCAGCTTCCCTTTTACATAAGGACCCAAAGAGTCTGGATATATTTATAAAAGCCGTGCACACAACAAAGGAACTTTACACAGATCTACCAGCTGTGCAGATCTCGGCCCTTGAAAAGGTCAGTGACTTCTGGAAAGTAAAGTGTATTGCAGTGTTTGACCCCATAATCTTTTGGGTGCGATGTGCTTGTGACCCCGTGACCCAGAGAGGCTGAGGCAGGAGATTGTGACAGCAAGACCTATCTTAAAAAAACAACTCGTTTTACAGAACCGAATGTTGTGCATAGGTCATTAAGAAAAATTTTGTTTTAAGGCCCAGCAGGTGGCGTAATGGTTAAGGTGTTAGATTCCCACATGGCTGACTGCAGTTCAAGTCCCAGACCTGGCAGCTTGTTTTCTCACTTTCTCTCTGTGTCTCTTGTCAAATTTAAAAATGATAATAAATAAAATTATTTAAAGAAAACTTTTGTTTTAAAGGACAAAATAATATGGGAAATAGTTTCATGTTATGAGAGAATGACAGGAAACTGTATGTCCTGGCTGTGGTAGTGCAGGCCACAGGGCGCTGTTCACACGCAGTCTCAGCACACGGAGGTGTGGTTCAGATCCCCGCTCCGTCGCAGGGGGTGCCTGTGCACACGCAGTCTCAGCGCCACGGAGGCGCAGTTCAGATCCCCGCTCCGTCGGCACGTGGGCGTGTCTAGGCGTGCCTGCGTGTGCTGCAGTCCTGGCCTGCTGGGTGGTTGAGGGCTGCAGGTGGATAGCAGCGTTGGGATTAAGAGTGATAAATAACCTTAAAATGAAAAATAACCCATTTCCCTTTCTCTCTTATGAAAGAAATAACTTTTTTTTAATTATTTTTTGAATTCAAACTTGTTCATTGGTCCCAGTTTCCATCTTTCTGCTCCTTCTAGATCACGAAACCGTTTTTCGCAGCCATAGCAGATGGAGAAGTTCAGCAGAAGCTTTTGCACACATTGTTCGACTTACTGGTGAACTGTGGAAGCTCACAGTGCGCTCAGGCTGTCAGCAGTGTCTTCAAAGGGGTGAGTGCCACCTCCCCGTGGTTTGCAAGTGACTCGTCTCTACCAGGTGATCCCAAATGCTTACGAATCCTGCACTTCACAATGTTTCCGTGAGGTCTAAAATATTACCGTGAATGATAATCTTGGAAATTAGGTTACAGAGAGTCCGAAACCAAAGTGATAAATCATCATTGTTCATGGTTATTTTACTGTGTAAGATATTTTAACTGGGCAGGGAGTGTGTTGAGCCACTCGGTATTAGGTGGGACTGTCTACTTCGGGCGTGGGGTAGGGGTGAGTGTGTGGCTCAGTGCCGAGGGGTAGATAGCAGGGTAGTGCCAGACAACCGGAGCACAGCGGAACCCACCCGGAGAGGTTCTGGGTTTGTCCTGGGGCCTCCCTGAGCACACTGGGCACGCACACACCTGTACTTGTGATCAGGCCAGCTGGGACTGGGGAGTGCACTGTCATGGGTGCCTCCCCATGGAAGAAATAGACAAATGTAAAATGAAAAAGTAATTTAAAAAAATGAAAGCTAGAGCTATGAAGAATATCCCCACTTGTGCAGTCTGACAGCTGCTAATGACGTACGTCATGATGGATCGAGACTCTGTTTATTAACTCCGTATGTATTTTGAAACAGCTAAATGTCAGAATTATCAGTTTGTTATTCTGTTTTTGGTTTGATTTTTAGGAAAATACATTCACAAAAATACAGAATAATATGTTGAAGCTCCAGTATCCAGATTTAGGACCAGCAGTTAGCACAATGGCTATGTCGCTGGACTCCCATGTAGTCGACCTCGGTTCGCGTCCCAGACCCGGTGGCTTAAAACTTACGCCGGGTGCATGTGCATGTGTGCCCAAGATCCCGAGAGGAGAATGGAGGAAAAGGGATTGCGGTGTGGTCATCCCCCCTGGGCGGTGATTTCTCGCTTTCTGTCTCTCTGTCTCTCTCTGTCTGTCTGGTGAGCGCACGCACCCTACAGCAAAAACCTCTTCAAAAAAAAAAAAAGAATTTTAGTCTTTTTCCTCTTGCTGAACCAAAATAATAAAAAATTATTTGTGCGGATATTTTGTTACATGACTACACTACCATTACCACACCTGAAAGAACTAGCAGTAATCTGTGGAATCGCCAGTCCATCACTACGTTCCCACGGCTGCTCGAGTAGCCGTTGCAGTTGTGTTCTTTGAGTCAGGGTCCATTGGGTTTTCGGAAACCCATTTTAATGCATTTTGCATAGAAAATTGAAAAATATGCTGTGACTTTCCCAACGTCCTAATAGATGTTCCGTTGTGCTAGGAGAACATTTCTAAAGAAAGTCCGTTTTGTGTCCCACCCTCTGTCTGCAGACTCTGGGTGTAACTCTGTGCGTGTGTGTATGCTGTTCCTCCCAGCTGGTTAGGCTATAAGAGGGAGGGAGGAGAGCGAGAGCACAAGAGCGAGGACGACTCTGCGGTGCTCGGGCTGTGTTTGGTTTGGCTCTTGGAGTGTGTAGTTGGTGTGGTTGGGTCTGGTGCCATCAACAGCTTTCTGCTGTGGGTGTGGATGTGGAGCTGAGAGCTCTGAACTGGAGAAGTGGCGCCGTGCCCTAACAGGGCACATGCAGGGTGGTCCTCAAACCCCAGATGAGCCTGGTGGAGGCAAGTGCCCGGTGGTGGGAAAGCCCAGTAAACAGGAAATGTGAAGTGGACTGCAGGTTTAGAGCTCGGCTGGCAGGAGGTCTGTTAAGGTAGTCTCCATGTGGCTGGAGGGTGGATAGGGGCATACCCAGGAATCCCCTCTCCTGTCAGCAAACCTTTCTTATGGGGTAATGTCTAACTTTAGTCTTGACTATTTTTAAAGAAATACAGGAAATGCATAGTGGGAAACAACTGCAGGTTACAAATGCGGATCCCACAGCTAATGCCCACTGACCAGGCTTTGAGGTTAGGGTTGACTAGCGCTGACTGAATTAGGTTAGCTCAGAAGGGGCAGCTGGCAGGGGCACAGCAGCGGAAGGTGAGGCCTGGTGAGGCTGACCTATAGGAGGCGACCCTAGGCTTGCGTCCAGAGAACTCCCTAAGTGCGCAGCCAGCCTAGTGTGTGCTTGTTGAGGCTGCTGGGAGCAGAGACTGGAGTAGTGTGGGGCCTGGTCTCACTTTAATGAGAGAAATAACCTTAAATTAAAGCTTTGAGACCGGCATGTGGCGTGGTGGTTAAGGTGCTGGCCTCCCACATGGCCGACTGTGGTTCAAGTCCCTGACCTGGCAGCTTGCTTTCACACTTGCCTCTTTCTGGTCAAATTAAAATTAATTAACTAAAGTTCAATTGTTTAAATGTATTTTTTAAAAAGTAAAGTTTTAAAAAGTAGCATCTTAAAGCTTTTAAAGGTGTGTTAGGAAGGTGTTGCCGGGACTTCTCCATGTCCCGCGTCAGTAGGCCGCTGCCTGGGGGCGGGTAGACATCTGCTCGTGCTGCATCTGCCAAGGACTGGACTGTCCTGGGACGGAGGCAGCTCTGCTCCCCGCCAGTCACCTCTGTTTCCAGCACACGCTGCAGTACAGGCTGCTCTGTGTACTGCGTGACTGTCACACGTGCCATCTGCCCAAGCTCATGAACTTTCAAGATGCACTAAGTGAAACAAACCAGCGTGCAGAGCAGTGTGTGACCTGCTCCTGCGTGCTTCTTGGTCGTCTGTGCATGGCTGTCAGTGTGTGAAAAATCGCCAGGAGGGCTCGAGGAGCTGTTGACGTGCTCGCCGCTGGGGTCGGGTTGGGCCCTGGGGATGTAAAGCGGCTGTCCAGCTGTCGCTGTCATCTAAGTCAGTGTCACTGCTCTGACTGACCCTGGTGAAGTGAACCTCACCCACCTGTTCTTCCATCAATATTTTAGATCTCTGTGAATGCTGAGCAAATGAGGGTAGAACTGGAGCCACCCGATAGAGCCAAGTCCTTGGGTACAGTTCAGCAAACAAGAAGGCAGAAGATGCAGCAGAAGTAAGAGCTGCGACTGCCCTGGGGCTGCTGCGCCCGAGGGCCCTGGGCGTGGGATGGGTGGTGGCTTTACTGAGCAGCGGCAGAGCTTGCCCTCCCAACTCCTGCCTTCTGTTTCCCAGGAAATTACAAGACGTGGAATGTGATCAAGAAGCTGGAGGTTCTTACTGGCAAAGGGTAACCCTCATCCTGGAGTTGCTGCAGCACAAGAAGAAGCTCAAAAGTCCTCAGATACTGATGCCGACACTCTTCAACTTGCTGTCAAGGTACTGAAATTCAGCTCGGGTCTGGGAGAGAGTGACTTCTAACTCCTACCTATCTTTAACAGTCCCTTTTCAGCACCTCTCAGGATAGCCTGTGAAGTGAAGCAGGTAGGTGGCGTGAGTCCCAGTGCCAGCACTCCACTCGGCCCTGAGTCAGGGTGAGGCCGCAGTGTCCACTCACCGTGTGCCTGCTGGCTTTCTCGCTCTCAGTGCTGTGCCTTGGGGGTCATTACTTGTATTTAAAGACACAGTCTGCACCTACTGTATTTTTAGGTATCCATTATGAGATACATAGCCATGGAGCTGCCACTGATTGTAGAGTACCACAGTTTTCCTGTGAAAAGCAGAATTATTCTCATTGTTGTCTTTTTTTTTTTTTTAGACTTTTTTTTATTTAACTATTTTGTTTTGTTTTGGAGAGGTTTTTATTTATTTATTTATTTATTGCTATAGGGCACGTGCACTTGCCAGAAAGAGAGACAGAAAGAGAAATCCCCCCTGGGGGGGGGATGGCCATGCCGCAATCCCTTCTCCTCTCCGGATCTTGGGCACACACGCACACGTGCCCGGCGTGAATTTAAGCCACCAGGTCCAGGACTCGAACCGCAGTCGACTCATAGCCATTATGCTAACTGCTGGTCCCTAACTTTATTATTATTATTTTCGTTTGGTCAGAGAGAGAGGAGAAGTGAGAAAGCAAGCCCGCCAGGTCCAGGACTCAAACCATAGTTGGCCATGTGGGAGTCCAGTGCCTTTAACCACCATGCCACCTACTGGCTCCTCGAGGTTGTCTTCTGGAACCTAAGAAGCTTAATGGAAAGTGCAGTAGAAATATAATTTGACACAAGCATTTGTCTGTGAGAAAAATGATTAAGTCTTACACCTCGTTACAGACTTCTGTGTAATGAGTGTCACGGTTAAGTCTTACTTAGTGTAAACCCTGATCATTGATGTGACAGTGGGTTCTATAAATTGTACATTTCCTGTCTCTTCTCTCTGGGCGTCCTGAAGGTGTTTGGAGCCCTTGTCACCAGAGCAGGGGAGCACGGAATACACCAAACAGTTGATTCTCAGTTGTCTGCACAGCATCTGCCAGAAACTCTCTCCCGATGGTGGCAGACTGCCCAGAGGTATGTGCTGGTTGGAAGGCAGGGGTGACAGCCATCCACTTGGAGCACGACAGTACCTGCCACATAGATCTGTGTATTCCCACCCCTGTAGATGTCTTAGATGAGGAGAAGTTCAACGTGGAGCTGATAGTTCAGTGCATCCGCCTTTCAGAGATGCCACAGACCCATCACCATGCCCTTCTACTTCTGGGTGCTGTTGCTGGAATATTTCCGGTGAGTGTCAGCGACTCGAGGCTTCAGCAGCTCTCTCGGGTACTTTTCTTCCGTGAGATGAATTGGCTGAGCCACTCCCCCACCAGCACAGAGTTCTGAGTCCCCACGTCTTTGCCAGTGCACGTCTTCGTCCTTGTCTACCCTGGCAGGTGTGAGATGGTGTCTTGTGGCTGGGCCCCGTCTCCCGTTTTGCCTACAGGCCTTGAGCAGCTGCTCGCGTGCTTTCGCGTGTTCCTCCTTGTGGCATCTTTTCTCTGGAGGACTGTCTTTCAAGCCCTTTGCCCATGTAAGGGTCGGGTGGTTTGTCTCCTCCCTGGCCTGCTATACCATGGTGCTGCAATGTCGTCGCTGTGTTTTCCCCCAGGACAAAGTTCTGCACAACATTATGTCTATTTTTACATTCATGGGAGCCAATGTCATGCGCCTGGATGATACTTACAGTTTCCAAGTCATCAGTAAGACAGTGAAAATGGTTATCCCAGCACTTATTCAGGTAAGCTGTCGTTACATTATTAATACTTTTGTTGTTGTTGTTAATTTAAAAAAATTGACTTGCGGGTCCTGCAGTGGCATGGTGGTAGGGGTGCTGGACTCCCTCATGGTTGATCATAGTTCAAGCCCTGGATTTGGTGGATTGCTGTCTCGCGCTCTTTTCATTCTCTCTCGCTTTTTCTCTGTCTCTCCTCTCATCAAATTAAAAATGATGATGAACAAAATTAAATAAAATAATTCTTAAAAATTTTGACTTGTAACTGACTTTAAAAGCCCTTCTGTGGGGCCAGCAGGGAATGCAGTAGTTAAAGCGTTGGACTCGCACATTATTATCATTATCATTATGTAACCAAGAACATTGATTGGTGACTCATCGTTGAAATCCTTATGATGAGCTGGATGCCGCAGCAGCTGCCCTGTGGAGTTCGTGCTGTCCCTTCACAGAGTCCACGCCTGAGTCGGCAGCAGGCAATGTTTAGGTGCCCCATTCGACCAGTCCCAGTGGTGCTGCGTCTTTCAGCCTTGGCACTCCAGTCATACTTGTCCTGCGCCAGGCCAGGTAGCCTCATTAGCCAGGGTCGACGCCTGCAGGTGGTAGGCCTGAGAAGCACAGCGGCGGCACCACGTGTGCGTCTCACTGCGACGCTTCCCAAACGATGATGTTCCCTTCGTCATCTCGCTTCTGTGGCTGAGACCAAAGAACGGACTCCCACATTATTGATCATGGTTCGAGTCTCCGACCTGGCAGCCTGAAAATTACACCAGGCACATGCACATGCAAGCCCAAATCCTGAGAGGAGATGGGATTGCGGCGCGGTCGCCCACCTTGAAGATGCATGAGCTTGCTTGTGTTCTTAACTCTACTGTCCCCACTGGTTCTGTGGTGTCTTCTTTTCGTGCTCTTGGCCACTCCGGGGACCACTGTGTTCAGCATCTTCCCCTTTCATCTGGGTGTGAGATCGGCGTCCCGGTGCTCAGTGTTCGCAGGTCTAGGCCACGTACACACAAGGAAGCTGAGCATGTGCATTGTGACGGTGCATGCCAGTGGAGCAAGGGAATCCTATGGTTCAGAATAGGAGAGTTCACGTGGCCCCGTCAAGCAAGACGTTTCCTACAAAGTGGAATTCGAGGTGCTGCAGAGTGGGGATAGCTCGGTGAGGCTCAGGGGCGACAGCGTGAGGAGAGGCACAGCCTGGGCATGTGCACGGTATGGAGGGCGTGGACGTGAGTCTGGTGGAGAGGTGGGTGGGGCGAGAGGCCCGTGGTGCACTCATTCTGTCACTCGTGTGTGTGTGTGTGTGTGTGTGTGTGTGTGTGTAATTATTAATTTTATTTATTACTATTAATTTAAAATTTTTGCTACAGACGATGTATGCTCACTAGAGAGACAGACAGAAAAAGTGAGAAAGCAAGCCGCCTGGTCCAGGATTTAAACCACAGTTGGCTATGAGGGAGTCCAGCACCTCAACCATCATACCACTTTCTGGCCCCACTCAGCTGTACTTTGATCACAGAAGTGGTTTGAACTGTATTTGAAAGTAGCGGGGCACCGACCTAGCCCATGCTGTGCGTATTTGGGTTGCTTCCTTCCTCTCGAGGTGTGACCCGTACCTGGGGCGCTGTGCACCTTCTCTGGAGCCTGAGCAGACATGACCACGTGGCGGAATGTGCCGAGGGGCCTTCTGCCGTCCTCTCACGAGTGTCTGGATTTCGTGCTCATTTCCTTTGGGCCTGGCCTCAGGACTTGCACTTTGTCTTCTTCTTGGGCTGAGTGGCGCTTGGCGCACGACGGGTACTCATTGAATGGATACTTGGGTCTTTGATTATTAAAATGCTTCTGGTAGCTTTTGGGGGTGTATCTGAAAGCCTCAATTTGTCCGCTCAGAACTTGCCTTGGGGGGTTCTCTGTGGCAACCCACTGTCCCTGCTTGCCGTCCTGCAGTCTGACCGTGGAGACTCGGTGGAAGTCACCAGGAGTGTTGAAGCCGTCGTGGTGAAAATCATCGGCGTGTTCGTGGATGCTCTGCCTCACGTTCCAGAGCACAGGCGCCTGCCGATCCTCGTTCAGCTTGTCGAGACCCTAGGTGCAGAAAAGTTCCTCTGGATTCTGCTCGTCCTACTTTTTGAACAGTATGTCACTAAGACAGCGCTGGCGGCTGCCTGTGGAGAAAAGGTCAGTGCGTCGGGGGTGAGCAGAGGGGATGAGAGGGTTAACACGGATCAGGTGATGCCGGCTGGCTCCCGCAAGGGGCTGCTGAACTTCCTGTGCATTGTTAAGCAGTGTTTGGTCAGATCCTCCTTCAGAAACGTTTCTGGCATTCCCCGAAACCGTTCGCAGAACCTGTAGCCACTGAGCACCCTTAGTCACAGCAGAACGTCCTCTAAGGGAGAATCGACTGCACCGCTGCGTTGTTCTGCTTGAGCACAGCGTTCAGCTGTGAAGTAGCAAAACCACGTCTCTCAAAGGCGTGGAGGCATTCAATGTGGACAGGGAGACGGGAGACAGCACGCAGAGACGGGAGACATGCTCACGCCCCCCTCCAGGAAGACAGCACACGGTGCTTGTGTGGGTGGAAGAGAGTGAGTCCCAGGTCGAGGGTGGTGTTTGCGGGAGGGAGAGGTTTCTTTGTAGTAGGGCATGTGCTCACAAGAGAGAGAGTGAGAGGTCACCTCTGGGAACACAGCCACACTACAGTCCCCTCTCATCCATTCCTGGGACTTGGGAGGGAGGGGCGCATGCACACGGTCCTGGCTTAAGTTTTAAGCTACCAAGTCTGGGACTCGAACCATGGTCGACTACATGGGAATCCGGCAACATAACAATTACGCCATTTGCTGGTCCCACAGGTTGAGAACTTTTTTATATGACTGTTTAGACGTGGGTCTGGCAGCGGTCAGGACCTGCCGTCAGTCAAGTCATATAGACAGTCTTGCTAGAAATCATAAGGCAGATTGCCCTCGAGGTATGGCCTCACGATACTCAGACGTTGGTGATGGCCGTAAGAGCAGTCTGTGGTGGCTGCGTGCCGAGGAGCGCTTGTTGGCACGGCCGCGTCTGTGAGTGTCAGCGTCTAATGGGATGTTTGTTACCTTTTTCTGCCCAGGATGCTATTTTAGAGGCAGACACTGAGTTTTGGATCTCCGTCTGCTGTGAATTTAGTGTCCAGCATCAGACGCGCAGTTTGATGAACATCCTCCAGTACTTAATGAAGCTGCCAGAGGAGAAAGACGGTAAGCCCGAGTCGGCTCTGACCATTTAGCCGAGTGCTAAGGAGCAGCGGAAGGCGCAGCTTGTCCCTGAGCCACGGGGCGGCTTTAGAAGAACTCGGGCATGACTGCCTTCTTGAGTCCTCATGTAAGATTGTCAGCAGGGGCTCACTGGCCATTTCTGCCATGCCGTCTTCACTGCGTGCTTGCTCGGCGTTGGCACTGTGGAACGCTGCCAGCGTCCAGGGTGAATTCTGTTCAGATAACCGGAAATCACAGCCCTTATCAGCTGTCTGCCAGCTTCCCATAAAGTATCCATGAAGACATGAGGAAAGAAAGAAGTGGGTACTGTAGCAGGGGTGGACAACAGCACCAGGTCCGTGGAGCCTTGGAGAAAGTCCCACTAGCTGCATTACCGGTGGGACCAACTTCAGGGAGGATTGGTAGGTTGAGCACGCTCCACTCTCTGCCGGGGCTGCTCTCTGGGGCCGGTGGCTGGCCTTGCCACTCAGGTTGGCCAGGCAGTAGAGTCTTATCCTGCAGCTGGCGTAGCGTGTCGGGCACAGCCCAGGGCCACACTGGGCCGCATGCGTGCCAGCTGCGCCAAGGAGGGGTCTGTCAGTGCCTGTCGTGGACCTAACTGCCACCCCTGCCCTATGTGCATTGGATGCCTCTGAATTTATCTGAAGCTTGAAGCTCCAGGACACATACCTTCAGAGTTGTTTTTTTTTCTTTTTAATTAATATTTTCTCACAAACATTCACTTTACGTGTCAAAAAATTTTTGCTCATACCCCATAGTTCTTTTTTTTTTTTCTTAAGAGGTTTTTTGCTATAGGGCGCGTGCGCTCACCAGACAGAGACAGACAGAGAGATAGAAAGCGAGAAATCACCCCCCAGGGGGGATGGCCACGCCGCAATCCCTTCTCCATTCTCCTCTCGGGATCTCGGGCACGCACACACACTCGCCTGGCGTGAGTCTAAGCCACCGGGTCCGGGACGCGAACCACGGTCAACTACGTGGGAGTCCAGCAACATAGCCATTATGCTAACTGCTGGTCCTCTCCATAGTTCTATTTTTAAATACTCCATAGTTGAGAATTAGTAAATATTAAACTTTCCCATAAAAACCCTGAATTTGAAAGATAACTTTCAAAATACTTGTTATAATTTTGTTTATGACTCTATAACAGAGACAGTGTGGTTTTAAATATTTTTGAGAAAACATTTTACATCTCAACTACTCAAACTGTTGAGAAGCAGACTTGCAGCACGCCGTTCACACAGAAAGCTTTCCCGCTCAGTTTCGCCTACCACGTGTTCTGTGGTTACCACCCGCGTGCAGAAGTCAGCGTCTTTTTCTTCCTTCAAAGTCTTCCTCCGGTCGTGAATGCGCTTTTGCATCTTGACTGATTATAATGCTGGGCTGGAGAAGTCCAGGCTATTTTACGGTATGAATTCTTTGATATGGCTTTTCTGATCCTCTCTGCCAGGCAGAACTATTTATGGTGCCAGGCCGTCTTTCCAAGAGCTTCTGTTGGCTTCCTTGAGATCCACCTTAGCCCTTAGCTTTCTGATCATATCTTCAGATGAGACGTTAAAGTCAAAGCCCTGGCAGTAACGAGTATTTCTGATTTCTGATGCAAGGCGATGGGTGCTATTGAACTTATGCAGATAAGCCTTCTACCACAAATAAGAATACTCTCAAATATTTTCCAATTCCAGAGAGGTAAGGAAGGGAGAAAAATTTATGTTTCAATTAAAAAAAAAAGGCAAATAAAAAAAACCATTTTAACTAGTTGCTGAACCTACCAACAGTTCGATAAAAAGCAAACTCGTTCAGTCTGGAAAAGAGCGTCAGTGCCATCTCCGTCAGAAGTCCTGCAGTTCTCTCTCACCAGCTCAGGCTCCTGTGACTCACCTCTCTCCTGTTGGATCTGCAGTGTTGCTGCAGTCTAGTCTTCTGTTTAATTCCAAGCAGCCTGCGCTTTGGTCCTTGAAACTATCACTAAGGCCTCCCCGTTTTTAGGGAGTAGGTGCGCCTGGCTGAGCTGCGTGGTTTCAGCTGAGAGCTCAGAGGCATGTGGGCAGAGAGGGGCCATGCTCTGCAGCTCCGCAGTCTCTCTTCTCTGAATCTCAGTCACTTGGTGGTGTGCTCACTTTCGACTAAGTGCTTAGAGAAGGTTCCTGGAGCAGTAAGATCACAGTAAAGTGCTTCCCTTCACTGTGAGGTACTTGTGAGACAATTTCTCTCCTCTACTGGTATCCACAGAAAGAGGTTTCCAGTTCAGATTTATAAGAGGAGTTTCTTCCTTCAGGCAGTGCGTTCAGTAAGAGTTGAGGATTTCTGTGACCCTGGCTGCGCTTTTTAGGGTCTGGAAGATGGGGTTTGGGGCAGAGATTCAGTCGCCTTGGTCCCAGAACAGGGCAGGATCCCTATCAACAGGTTTTTAGAACTGAATCTTGAGGCTAGAGCTGACCTTCCTTCTGTCTTGGGGACCACTGAGTACAGGCCTCCAGGCCTTGGGAACTAGATACACAGGTGCCACTTGAATTCTCTTTCCGTGGTGCCCTTGTCATCCATTCAGGTATCTCAGTCGTCCTGGTTTGTTTTTATATTACACACACTCTTCCTGAGGCTCTTTGATACATTTACGTTTGTCTCTTGCTAAGTTTACAGGCTTGTCACTAATTCAACAACGGAAAGTAGACGTGACCCAGGAATGGATCTCTCCTGGAAATGGTGTCCTAGTAACTACCCTGTGTTGTACAGCTCACCCCTCTAGCTGCCTGAGAGTGCAGGCGAAGAGGTGTGAGGGTCACTTGTCGCTGTTTTTCAGAACCCGTTCCCAGAGCAGCACCCAGTAAGGCTGAGTCTCAGGAAGAGCCCCTGCAGGTCTTCAGTGTTGACACGCACACCAGCAAGCAGCTGCGGCATTTTAAGTTTTTGTCAGTGTCCTTCATGTCACAGCTCCTGGCTTCTAAGAGTTTTCTTAAAAAGGTAACGTGTTCTTTAAATGTGTTTATGACAAAATTTTTCAGTTTGCCAGAGGGCATGTACTCTTGCCAGAGACGGATAAAGCATCCCTTATGAGGTGTGGCCTCGCCAGAGTTCCTTTGTTCGCCCTGCTTTGGGGGTTTTGGCACGCATTCACGTGTGCCCAGCACATTTTTCAGTCCGCTGGGTCCAGGGCTTGATCTGTACAGTTGGTCGTGTGTCTAGCTATCTTAACCTCATGCCCCAGGCTGACTGATTTTGCATTTTCTAAAACTGTTATAAACTAGTTAGAATAGCTTGACAAATGTCTCATGAAAACATGAGACGTGCATTAGAAGGTAGTAGGAGAATGCAGTAAGTACACTGAGGGGTTGTCATTCTCAAGTGGCTGGAATTGTGTGCACATGTGCACCATTAGGGATCTTCAAGGTGCTTGTAAGAGCATGTACGCAGCAGCCGAGCTGGTATCAGCCCAGAGGCCGGTCCACTTTACAGTGAAGTAGCTGTAGATCCAGCACTTACTCATGCCGTAAGAAAACAGACACTCTTAGCAACGGGGGTAGGTGGGTGTTAGAACTTGTGGTTTGTATCATACTTGATGACAAAACATGAATGGTGTGCTTGCTGAAGTCACAAAGGTTCCCTCTGTCATCCTTTCTGTTTGAGAAAATAAATGAACTGTGAGGATCAGAAAAACACCCACAAATAGTACTAACGATTAGTGGGGCCAGCAGGTGGCATGGTGGTTAAAGCACTGGACTTCCACGTGGCCTACTGAGGTTCGAGTCCTGGACCGGTAAGCCTGGAAACACACAGGTGTGGGTACGACGTGCGGCAGGCGGTTTGACACGCCCGCACCAACGTGATATATGTTCCATTTGGTGGAGAAAACTCATCTCACTACAGAAAGCGGGAGGTGGGCTGGAAACTTAAGTGGGAAAAGCAACACTTAGAATTTTCAGAAGAAAATTAAGAACAGTATTGTGACCAAAGGCTAGAGAAGGTTTCTTTAAAATTCAACCAACAGCTACCATAAACAAAGTAAAAAGAAAGATTGAGGAGATTGTCGCTCAGCCGAGCCATCAAAAATGGTCACGTTATTCACACTCAGTTCATCCTTCCTGGAAAGCTGCAGATTGCAGATTAAACGAGAAGCCACTGTGGTGCCCACAGCTCGGCTGGCACGTCCCAGCTGATGGCACTGAGGAGCGACAGGCGGGGTGCCCAGTGGGCTGTGAGTTGGCCTCGCTGCAGTGGAGGTCGTGACGGTCTGACAGGGTCACAGATGCAGTGGTTCCTGTCCTCTAAGATTCCGCCCGGGGGCATGTGCTCTACAAAAACCTGTCCACACGCTTGAGGACATCCTAATGAGTTCTGGGGCCAGCGCTGGAGAACACTGCATGCGAAGTCTGATTCCATGTGGCCACCCATGGTTTGAGTCCTGGCCCCAGTGATGAAGATCACACCAAGTGTGTGTACTTGCATGTGTGCCCAGCATCCTCACTGGGTGGAGAGTGGAGGGAAAAGGATGGTGGCGTGATCATGCCCCACTGAGAGGAGGGTACTTCCTCTGTCACTGGTGAGTCCATACACCTTCTGGCAATGAAAAAGAAGAAAACGTCCACCGATGTCATCATGCATCACTTTGGCAACAGGGATACGTTCAGAGAAACACCGCCTTGTCCCCACGGTCGTCTTAGTGTGCACTTACACAAGCCCGGGCTAGGTAGCTGCTGCGGACCTCAGCCATGACTAACCTGCTCTGGGTGTCGCTTACGTGTTGTGACATGTGTCTGTCATGTCATACTGCCACTTGTGAAGCCCGTTGCTGACAGAAATAGCACAGCTCGGTGCACAGCTGTGACTGGTAAAAGAATGAGGGGACTTGGGCTGGGTGTGCAGCAGAGGTGAGTGGGAGACACCCCACGGTTCTGAAGGACGCCGTGTGCTGAGAATAAACGGAGGAGGGTACCAGTCCCTGTGTATACCCCAGATCTGACACCGGAAGAGACCTGCCAGATGGTGTGTCGTGCCTTAAAACTTGTGATGGGTTCGCAGTGGTGGTGGTCACTGTGGGCACGGAGCAGGCCGTGGCATAGCAGCCACAGCTCAGTCTGTTGTAGAACTTCATTTACTTTTTCGAGGTTTCGGCCATAGGGCATGTGCACTCACCAGGAAGAGAGTGAGAAAGCGACTAGGCACACCTCAGGGAAGGGTGCACGCACACATACCTGGCCTGATTTTAAGCCCTTGGGTCTGAGACCTGACTCGCGGCCAGTTGTGTGGGAGTCTGGCGCCCTTGCTGCCCATCCGCGGTGGAACTTCTCGTCTAGTAAGACCCACGTTGCAGGCAGTGTTGGGTCTTCACAGCACCTCGCAGGTTACGCACAGCGTGCAGTTGAGATGATGTCCTTGCCGTGTCAGAGCAGGCTCTGGGGGTCTCAGTGGGAACCGGGGAAGCTGCTCCGGGAGGCCGAGTGCAGTCTCAGATGAGCATCCCTGAACCACTTCGAGTGACTTCACTGTCAGCCCTGGTCCTGCTCTAACGGTACCTCTTCTACCCTAGGTCGTGGAGAGTGGCGGTCCTCAGACGTTCAAAGGCCTTGAGCAGAGGTAGGATGGCTCTTACCTGGAGAAGGCGATTTCCCGTGTGGGGAAATGGGAAGACCAACCCTCACTCATGTACCCTCCTCCAGCCAGACTGGCCAGGCTGGCCCTCATCCCCGTTGCTGTGCGCTCTTCTCGGCCTCA